GGCCTTTTTGCCGGACTCTCGACGTTCTTCGACGCCCCTGCGCTCGTATTGCCAGGGACAAGGAGGAGAGAATTTTTCCGAGGTCGCTGAGCCTTTGCAGCTCAACGTCCGGATTGATGGCCATCCTCCGAGCTCGAGCTCGTCTCGTCAAAGCGCGTCAGAGCCCGCTGTTCCATCCTGAGGTTACGTGATCTTCTTCCTGGAAATGATTCGGACAGTGTTTTTTCTGGCGGCTTCTAGGCAGCATGGCTCATCATGGCTCCACTGCGAAACGGCATCCGGTGCCTAGCCCTAGCTGATTCTCTTTTCCACATCTGAGGTGAACTTTGGAATCCAGCTGATGTATGTGACACGGATTCACAAAATCAACAGGTCCTGTGGGGTGAAACCTTGGGTGTTCAGCCTTAGGTTGAGAGGAGCCTTCGTAGCAGGTTTCGGTGCCTTTACTCGTTTCTTTGACACCTTGCAAATTTGAAACACGTAGATCTGCCTTGAGGATGTAGAGGTGGCGCACGTCGGTGTGTACTGCTCATCAAGGATTGAGGGTTTTCAGGAGGAGGGCTTTGAACCGTAAGTGCGATAATAGAACCAACCGACATGCCTACATGATTGGAACGAGCTTGCGCGGTTCAGAAGCCTCACCGGTGTCGGGCGTTAAGAGGCGTTGATCCTGCCGCGCCTGCCAGGCAGAACGAGGGTGCACAGTCTGAGCCCAAGGTCGGTGTCGTGCGCTTCCTGAGATGTCCGGCGTTATTAGCACGGTTTCCTAAGCACGTTGATGCTGCATGAGATTTCAGATGCAAAAGCTTGACAAAAGTGAGCATATGGGTGCGTACTTTGAGTGTCGTTAGTACCAATCGGCTTTGCGAGACCATGTGCCGAAGTGCTTCTCGTTTTCAGAACATACCAAGCATTTGACCCATCTATGGCGTTAGGTGCATAGTGCAGGGTGGTCAAGTAGATATACACTATTGTCTGTGTCCGGGAGTTATGGTTTGGCCAGCTGGTTGCAGGTAGGAAAGCATGAACGGCGGCAATGCGAAACACAACGAAGCACACAACAGCATGTCGTTTTGCTGCAGGGAATTGCCCACAGCTGGCAAGGTCTTGCTTCAGCATTGTCATTTCCGCGTGGAAAACTGCAGTCTTCGATAGTAGCGGTCTTCGTGGCCGCACCTTGCTTCCAAGAAGCCCCGAGAAACTCCGATATCAAATTATCGAACTCCTTCATTCGCTTTTCAAGCGACCGTGAAGTCTACCAGCACACAGTGGCAGTCTGCATGGTGGGAATCACAGGTGCTTCGGAAGGAACCCCAAGGAACCCCAAGGCAGCCAAGACCCGAAAAGTCCTAGACGTTGGTGGTCAAGGGAGGAAACGGCGTGCCGCCAAATCTAGAGACTGTCGAGGTTATGTTGCATGCAACTGCCACGGACATTCAAGCTGGCTGTCGGTTTGGGCTTCGTTCTGAGCCCCGATCTTTCTCCAATCCAGGTGTGAACCACGCAAAGCTTATTTACAGCTGGCCCGGGCCCCGGGCCTTGACTCTGCGGCAACTCGTGGCGACTTCCTTTTTCTGATGTTTGTTTCAATAGCAGGGTTTGGCACGCCAAGGTTTGCATCTTCGTTTTTGCCACGAGTATTTTCAAGGACCGCAGCACTTGTGCAGTCGGTGCCCAGAGTAGGTTCTTGCCCTCAATGCGCCTCTTGGATTGGCTACATTTGGCTACGTCTTCTTCCCAGCGGCTCGTCAGGTGACGAGGATCGACGCAACATCGGCATAATTCCCAATTTCCTCCAAGCATGTTCGTTCTGAACTAGCAGTGCCCTCGTCGCGGTTTCCAAAGCCGCTCGGGATGTTTGGGTGGGGCCAACAACTCTGCTGGCTCCTGACGCTCGCTGGCGTCTGCCCGAGCCAAAGAATGCAACATCCGTCATTTGGCAGGTGAAGGGTTCGACTACGAAGGCTCCACAGAATTCAAAAGGAGGAGCGAGCCTGCAGATAGCACTTACACCGTGTGCGAGGGCAAAAGCAGTCTGCAGATCACGCCCTCCGAACCAGTAAGCACTCGCAGAGGGTCTGTGCAGAAAGATCGAAGATGAGAGGAATGAGGTCGTGAGAAGATTTACCCGGCCGCACCTTTGATCCGAAAAGCCGTCTTCTCACTGAGAAATTGTCAAAAACAAAAAACCCAATGGATGAGACCTGTCCGGCGGTGCTGTACAGGCACGCAATATCCTCGCCATATCGCCACCTGACACCATCAGCGGATGCAAACAACAGATGCTTCTGAGGCCGGCTGGACACCAGCCCACAGAGGGGACAGTGCAGTTTTGATGATGGCGGCTGCATCGTTGACAGCCTCTAGCACCACATCGCCTCCGTGCATCATGCAGCCAACCATGAGTTTGCGAACCAGCTGAGACGTAGACTCAAGGTGGCGATCTCGGCCACATAATCCAGCAGCAGGGCAACCTAATCCAGATCCACGAACGACGTGCTTCACGGCATCCTCCATCCCCGAGCTCGGCATTTCTGAATGGAAACGCCAGCAGGGACCTGTGCGCTCTTCATCTCCGACCACGGGCGCGGAATCGACAACCACACAGCGGGGCACATGTTTATCAGCCCCTGTCTCACTGGAGCAAGCAAAATGGTCATCATCTGCTCGACTGAGCTCCCTGTCCGAAGGCATTTGCCGTCGGGTTGGATGCCGTGCTCGAGGCATAACAGCTCCCAGCGAGCTGTACGCAGGGCTTGTGGCACTCATCGCAGGAGTCACTCAGCGAAGGGAAGGGGACCCGACCCCGGTCAAGTCATCCAAAGTCAAGAGGTATCGGCGCCCAATTCCCATCGCAAATTCCTGTGGCGACCAACTGCCGTACTAAAAAGGCTCCCGCGCTGCATCTCAGTCAGATGGCGCATCTCGGCCTGTGGCGAACCACAGTCGTTCCAAGATTTAGCTGCAACCTCATGTAGGACTCGCAGCGACATAGGCCCAAGTGGTATAAGTCGGCGAACAATTCTCAGAATGTGCTGCTGCTGCTGCTGCTGCTGCTGCTGCAGCATGTCTTCCTGTCGAAAGTATGACACTCTGGATCTGCAATCACGTAAAAGAAGCAGTGTGCTCCACTGCCCACTGCAACCGCTCGCTGATGAGCGTCTTCTGGACCCTATAGGTGGGTGATGGTGGGTGGTGCTCACTGCAACCAGGTAGCTACTTTTGAGAACTGGCAATTAGCAAAGCGTTTTCGCATCCGCACTGCCAGGATTGTCCCTGGTCCCAATTATAAAAATTCTCTTGACATCCACATCATCTTGGACATCCTCTTGGAATTTCTTGGTGGCCGGATGTGTAGCAGAAGCCTTCAAGCAGACAAGTCTGCTGTAGACTGTAGACCGGGCCAAATTTGTTTGGCAGGAGTTGCGGAACTGCACGGACTTCCTGGACCTCCTTATCAGGTGTCCTTTCCTCAGTTCGGATCTCCGTATCCAGAAAGGTCTTCAGACTCTTCGAAACTTTTGAGGAGCAAACATTGACCATTGGCTTGACTAGGCCCTGTGAGAGAATCCGACGGGCCTTGTGCTCAGACCGGGAACCGCTCTGCTGGTTTGATCATCCAAACACGCTTTCTCAGATACGTCCGTGTGGGTGTCGGCGGCGGTTGTGCCACAGCCTTATCATTGTCACTTCTGCTGGGCCACTTCACCACCATGTCCAACCGCAGGCTACTTGCGTGTCTGAGTCTGTCTGAAAGAACCGAGGATGGTAAACACGGCGCAGTGCTCCACAGCGAATGTTCGACTCCCAGCGAAGATGCATTCTTGGGCGAGCATGGTACTCGATTGGTGGAGGCTGACCTGTCGAGGGTGAGCGTTCTGACATTGAACAGCAAGGAGAAAGAATCTAAACACACCACCTGAGAGATGGAGGTGGTGTCATGTAGTGTGCCGGTAGCGAAGACGATCGCACTGGCTCTACTGCTGGGTGAGCTCCGAACGAGCGTTTGCTAGGCGAAACTCCCAGACTCAAATTTCGACTGTCCGCCAGATGTCAGAAGGCCAACAGCAGTTGCTGAGCATTTTCGTTCACACGATTCGCCCGGTTTACCGTTCCGAGGTTTCATACAAAAGCCTCAAACAGAGTTCGGTGGGGTTGGGGTCCCTGTATTTGCTCATCATTTTACTTGCTGATTTAAGTGTAGACTACGAGCCGTCCAGCTCAAGGATCCCGACTATACCATGTCCCATGAGTCAACACGCCGCATCTAGCCTTGAGTCGTGTCTTTAGTAGGGTGGCCTGGGGTTGTGGTGCTCCCACTCAATGTTTAAGCTCGTAAGCCACTATCTGAACCTTACCCAGCAAGAACCTACGGGAGTAGATGCTTCTTGTTTCAATCACTTCCGCAGAATACTAGGGCATTGCATTCGGAATCTCGAGAGACTTGCAAGAAGAACGGACTCCAAGATACTACAGAGCTGTTTGATAGCAGGGTTCCGTGCCCACTGCCTGCATAGCGTGTGTCGCGGGGAAGTGGCTAAATGGACAACTACTGATTTAGATTTATGGTTGAGTCTTATTGGGTTTAATGTTCGTGGAGGGGAGCGGAATGTGTTCCAATGGTAATGGAGTAGCCTCTGAGGGTTTCTTCGCTTAGCCTCCCAGTTTCTCAGCATGCTTACCCGCTCCTTAAGGCTGTGCATAGTTTTTGCGGTTTCTCATGTCATCTGAAGTCTGCATGACGGAATCAGGTGAGCCACCCTCGAGTAGTTTCAGGGTGCAGGCCTCAGCTATGTCAAAAGAGATGAAAGACTGAGATGCAGCCCAAGACTGTTCGTTTGACTGAGGATCGGCTGTTTAAGATTGCGCGGTTGTACCGCTGCGAGCAGAAGGATCACTTGTGGTCGCTGGGGCGACACTGGCCTGTAGCAAGAACGGGAGCAGGTGCTTTGAAGTTGCAAGTCCTTGAGAACATGACACCTACTGAACTTGACAGGTCCATGACAGGTTTGTGGAAGTTGGTCTGTGTCATCTTTGTGTCCCACTCAGACGTTGGGACTTCTCCAGAGAACTGGTTGTTAGTGAGAGAGACTCCCAAAGCAGATTGGAAGCCAGCGTCATGTTCAGTGGTCCGAAGCACACACCATACAAAGTCAGGAGATCGGGTCTTGCATGGGGCCTGATAATGCATTTCAGGAAAGTCGTTTCTGGATGGGCAGTTGAAGCCATTTCGTTGGGTTGAATGACTTCTCGAAGACTGCTGCAGCTTTGTCAACGTTCAAAGCTAGAAAAGCAGCATTTCTTTTCTTGTGGCCCCTTGGTTATTGTTTGTTGAGGCTCTGCTGATTGCCCACCTATTGGGGTCATGCTAGATGAGCCCGATGAGCAACTTTGCACGGCGGCGCTCCGAGGTCGCTCTTCCCCGTATCGTTCTCTGCTTGCTGCTGCTGAAGGTTGCCTCGGGCTTCATCGCACGTTCTACGGAGGAGACCAGAACTAGAAGGTTTCCAACTGCGGCCTAGTTTGAACACCCGGACGGCTTGTCACCCGTGCACTAGCACTCGCTCCCACACTTCCAAAACTCTGTGCCAGGTTGTCATTGATCAACGCTCATGCTGGATCGAAATCGAATTCCTTCCCCCACCCCTTCGAGGGATGCTGCACATAAATTACATAAACACCACCCCGTCGCTTGCCCTCTGCTGCTTGCGGCCTTGAGTTGCCGCTTGCCCCACCACACACAGCAATGCGTGACGTGACCTGCTGGTCGGAGGAAAACGCGAAGTTGTCAGCTAGGCCAGGCATGACATACCGGCACGAATCACTGCCTCAGGTGAGCTCAGGTGAAGCTTTTGAATCTAGCCGGTGAGCACTCAGCACTTCCGGTAGGAAGGCTCCAAACTCGCCAATTGAAGGATATCAGCCCGCAATTCGGACAGAGAGTTCAGAAAGCGTTTTGAATCCAACCAGGAGTCCATGGTTATCGACACGGTTGCTGCCGCTTGGGCTGTGAGACATGAAGCCGGATTTCCATGTGAAGGAACAATGTCTGGCTTCCGAGGCTTTGTTCATCAGTGATATTGGAACCTTTATGTTCCAGCATTGCTGGCATTCTTCCATCGGCACAGTGCGGCCACGCTGCTTTGTGGATGTTCAAGAATTGACGCTTCCGATTTGATTGCGGGCACGTTGGCCAACCCCTGCATGCCAGTGCCTTCACCACAAACAGCGTCAAGAACAATCTACGAAGGACGAGCATGAAGTTTGAGCAGTTGGTGTGCTGTGTTGGCCTTGCAGCCTTGTGTAAGTACCACTTAATACTGGCAGTTCATTAGCGGGTAATTTTGAGCTGGACAGGATGCCCCCGGTGGAGTTTACATCGAACAACTGCGCCGGGACCCGATGGCCTGCCCCATGCCTGTAGCCCTCTCGTTTGCTGCTTCGCTTCGAGGCGAGACTCCTCTCGTTCTTTTTGGTGAACTTCGTCCTGCCGGTGTGCACCTCAAAATGCGCCTCCTCCCTCAAAGGAAGATCGCTGATACCTTGCTTTTGGGAATGCAGCTTTTGTCAGATCATCACGGTCGGGCTTTCCGTCGCGATGGTTTGGTACCTCAGGCGCGGATGCTTGAAGACTCGAAGGCTTCGAGTAACCCGGCTCCAGCACACACAAGTACCTAGCCCATCAATGAGGTCGCACTGTGGACCAGACCAAGACTTCACTTCTGCCTTGCGCTCCAGTCTCAGAGAGAGAGAAGAGAATCTAGATTCGCCGCACTGTGCTGAACGTTCGACTCCGATCTTCCATGCCTCCAAGGAAGCAGTTGGGACTCAAGCGACATCTTGGCCGTCGCAGTCTTCACTTCCTAATTCCATTTTCCTGACTGGCAGCCACCCGACGCTGTCAGGCACTAGGCCATGTACAGAGACCGAACCCGGTGGTTGTGTGGCCTGGACAACATGCAACACATGTAAAGGCTTGGACTCCCTTCTTTGCGACCTCACATGAAGGCCGCCTAAGAGGGTCGAGGGCTCCCGCACCTTGACTTGGAGGAGCAAAAGCGTTGATCATGCCGAAAGCATTTAGCAGCAACATCTCCTCTTGCTGCAGCACTGGGCGTGCCCGAGCATTCTCGGCTTGTAGCTGGCACAAGCTCCCAGGGCCTGAGGCTCTGAGGTCGCCTGGAAGATGTTTACGAAGTTTCTGGATTTTGCACAGTTTCATGTTCTCGATGTCATCTATGCATTCTCAGGTTATGACGGCGGCACGGCGATCTGCTGCTTGGGCACAGATGGCTGGTTGATCGCTTGAAGTGGGAGTTGAGTTGTGGTTTCCCTTTGATGGAGACTTAGAAGTCATGTTGCCAACAGCAAATACGGTACAGAGTACGGTACATTGGGTTTCCTGGTGCCACTGCGACAGGCCTGGGCATTGCGTGCGGCATGCCTTGCTGCTGTTGGGGTGGTGACCCTTCTGCTGGCAGAGGTAACCTGCTTTGGATGCCAGATTGGGTGAGTTTTTCCTGCTCTTCTGTGCAGACCACTTTCGTGGTGCCAACGGCAACTGTCAGCAGCGCCCAGAGCAGAACACTGGCAGGTGTGGCCGGGCTGTGGAAATGCATTGACACTGAGGGTTTGAGGGCCTCCATGCCCGGACTTACGGCGCAAGGCCTCGAATCTGGCCACGCATTGCGAGGAAGCCGCAGTTGCACTCTCAGTCTACATCGACCGAGATTTCTGCGTGTCAGTTCTGAAGCTTTCATCGCCTTTTAGCTGAGGCTTCGCCCCTCGAACGCCTCTCAAAGCTGAAGAGGCGCTCGCGGAACAAGAGAAACTGAAAGGGAGCCGGTCGGCCTGTGGCTTCAAGCAAGGGACCCGACACCCACACTGCCGCAGGCTGTCGAAGCTGGCGAGGCCATGACCCTTCCAGGTTTCTGTCCTGTCTCTTGAGGACATTGCTTCGGTGAGCTGGATATGGCAGAAACGGGTTGAATCTTAAGGAGCACCCCCGCCAATCTGAACCTTTGCACACTGCGACAGGGCAAGAAAAAGATTGATTGGGTGCTGTTGGCCTACTTCGCTCTCTGGTACTTGGGCAACTATTACTACAATATCACCAACAAGCTCGGAGCCCGGCAGGACTACAGTGAAAGGTTGTGCAGCATTTCTTCCTTGCCCGACGGTGTCCTGATCCAGGCTGGCCTTGAAGGCAGCGGGCGGCGCCAAGGGCTTCCCGATGACCATTGCGACTCTTCAGGCAGAGACGAGACCGCCGGAGCATTTGCCATCTCTGGGGTCACAGGACACATTTCTGTGAGTGCATATTTCGAAGAGCCCGGCTGACCTTGAAGGTGATATTAGACTGTCAAGCAAGTCTCCACACCCCATTGACCCTCATGCATCCTGCCCAGTCGCACATGGTAGCCTCCTATGCATCATCTAGTAACTAGTACTCTCACGAGTCTCGAGTTACTTGTGTTTGTGCCCTGACTCCGCAGCTTGGTGTGGGCTGCCTGTGGGCCCTTCTTCTGTGGGGCTATCCCGACACGCGAAAGCTTCCTGAGATCACGGCTGGGCGCTGCCGGCTCCGTTATGGTTTCGGAACAATAAGTCTGAACATGTTTTGCCATAAGTCTCGATGAATTCTGGGAACTGTGTCCCCGTATGTGAGGAAGCCCGTGACTAAGGGATAGGAACGAATCAGGAATCTTTCCAGTGTGCAGGGGGCAAGAGTAATTATGCATCGACAGTGTCCTGCCAACGAAGACGCTCTTGTTGCATAGTGAGATAGAGAAGGGACGCCTTCTCTACGTACCATTGCACAGAGTGCCAGCCGGTTTTAGTGACAGCAAATGTATTCCAGTTTACTGCCAAAGTGGCTTAATATTGTCACCTCTGGAAATCAAGAAAAGGAGACAAGTCAAGTCGGAGGCAGGATGACACAAGTGTGTGACTAGACGGTTTCTCGTTCATCGTGCCGTCCACGGTGGGGTTGCCTTCTGCATTGAAACATGGTCGGTTCCGCCCAACGATTGAACCCTGATCAATTTCGTAGAATCAGGCCCTTATCGGCCCTGCTTTCATTGCTTCTAAAGCGTTCATTGCTTCAAAACGGCAAAAAGATTCTTATATCCTTCATTCGCTACCCAGAGATTTGTCGGGCCCAAAACTGTCACCGTTGTGGTTCATTTATCGGTGCCCAAAGTTGTGATTGACGCTATTTTTTCAGTATGGAAAGAGTAGCCGCAGGTTGCCCAGTCGAAGGCATTCGAGCTCGGGAGTTGTCGCATCGTAGCATGTCCGGGTTTTCTTTCCGTTTTCTGAGTGAAGGTCGCTACCAAGTATTGTTGTGACCAGATGAGTTTCAAAAGCTGTCTTTGTCACGCATGGCCAAAGCTGGACAAATTTGTTGCACAGGACAGGATATTCCTCAACAAATCATGTTGACCGGATCAATTTGGATTCCCCTTCCACAGCTCATTTGTTTCATGTCGTTTTAGCCTGATGACAGGCACGCCTTTGACACCTAACCTGTTAAAGCCCTTGCATCCAGTGCACATGGTCCGACACCGTGACCCCGCAACATTTTATTTCACACGGTGACTTAAAGTTATTGCAACTTTCCAACGACACATGTCGCAGCGTGACGATGTTTTGTGCTGCCGCAACCCGGTTCATTGCATCCAGCAAGTAGAGAGCACATGTCGACAAGTGGAACACCTCGGATCCACCCCAGAAGTTTCGCACTCAGTTCCCGAGCTTGATGAAAAACAACAAGTGCTACTGCTAACAGGTAATCACCCGTACCACATGCAGCAACAACAGGCTGCCCCGATTCAGGTGAAGCAACAGCAGCTCCACACACAGCGGAAGTTGTTGCAGGAACGCCGATCAATGATCAGCAAGATTGCTGATCAACTCGGAAGGCTTTGGATGAATGTACACTGTGGCCACGGCACCCCCGATAAGGGCAATCCATCGTTCCAGGCGTTCATGCAGGGTAGTGTGACATTTGCATCCCACCACATGTAACGAAACTGTGGGATGCGACCTGGTCAGTCCTGGGTACCTGCAACATAGGGATGAGCCCATTGCAGCATCGAGATTTGACCGTGATCAGTTCGTGGCACCACCATTTGCAGTTTCGCAGCCGCCACGTCGCCAGTGTTTCAGACTAGTAATTGCAGCAGCCACGTTGGCATCATGAATCACATCACAGTCACATACTGCCGTTGTTTTTGAGATCCATCAATCAACGTGTCAGCAAAGTCCAAGTGCGTTTCAAGTCGTGTTTCTACCTGCTAGTTCCGCTGCGGTGTCTACGGTAGGTTTTCGACTGTCCCATTGTCTGTGCACGCATATACATGTATATATATATATATACATATGTGCAATGTATGTGTGTGTATATATATATATATGTATCTATATATGTATGTATATGTATATGTATATGAGTGTGTCTCGCATAGCCCTCAGACCGATATTCTCATGGCAGGGACTATAGCAAGACTCTGTTGGTTGGGCTTACTTCGGCAGGTGCTGGCCTCAGCATGTTTTCTTGATTTCAACGCAGTGCAAGATTTTGGTGCAGCCGCCCGGTCGGAAGCATGCTTTCCGAGGTGCTCACGCCGCTTCGGTTTTTGCGCTCAGTGCGGGAGCTGTATCCTTCGGTCAGATTGTGAAGGCGCTCGCCATGCAAATTGCCGGGTCAACCTGTTCAAATAATTCACCGCTTGCAAACCGTATGCTTACAGAGTTGTCCCACATATCTAAAGCCGGAAGAGTCATGCTCTGTTTCTTGTGTTCCCCTGACGCATGGCAGCCATCAAGAGCAAAACGTTTTCGCAGGTTCGGCGGCTTGCTCCCTTGATGTAAAAAACTGACAGGACGTTTTGAACCATGTAGGCCCATGTAGGCGTTCACTTGCCCTCCTTTTCAGGAACGGGTTTACATCGCTCAACAGACACATGACAGTTTTGCATGGGTTGCATAGCTCGGAATATTTCTGGGACGCCCCACCTGTGAGAATCTGTGCCGACATCGCAGACCTGAGGGACTCCATCCGTCCCTACAAGTCAAGGGCAGGCACCCAGGACCGACGCCAGGACGATGTTCGAGCCTCTGGGTATTTGATCAGATAGGTCACCGAAAGGTCCAGTCAGCGGGTCATGCCAACAGGCAGGCCGTTCCAACATGCTTGATTTTTCCGCAAGGCCCAGGAAACAACTCGTGGCCAAGAGCATTTCAGGATCTGGGGGATTCAGACGCGAAGTGTTCCATTCGCAGAGGCTTGCCTCAACCTCCCAGAAAGTTCGCGTAATGCCATCATCTGGCACGTCTCCTGTAGATCCAATCGAAGTGAATGCTCTGAAAGCAACTTCTGAGTATGTTGGCATCCTGCTTTGTTCATGGGATCGATAGGCTTGAATCGCCTTCTTTGAAGGTGTGTGCGAGGGCTGCATGACTTGTCCCAAGCACTTCGCATTTCCTTGATTTTTCAAGTCGACCTGGAGGGGTTTCCGGGCGTCGACGAGCTGAGCTCACATCTCCGCAGCTCTCAGCTTGTTCGGATATATAAGTCAAAAGGCCAACATAGTTTTCAGAAGTTGTCCCGCGGAAGTTCGAGAAGTTCCAGCGCGTGTAGGCACCATCCTGCTTTCGACACAAAATAGGGTTGGATGGAGGCTGTGAGGATTCTTCTTGGAAAGGCTACATGGCCACATATGTTGACGGTTGGTCCCATGGTGGTTCACACACATTGCTGATGTGGTTGCGATCGAAACGCCTGCATGCCGCGTTACCAGCGACTTGCTTGTGAATGAAGCATTGGCGTGGATTCGTGGATCTAGAAGAGCTGCAGCCGGAAGAGGATTCAAAGGACAAATGAAGACCAGGATCCACAAAGGTGTAGGGTTGCCAGAAGAATGGTTTGTCATGCCGAGATGGCTCATAGGAGTTGTGAAGCACTCCAAGATGTCACCAAGTTCTCGAAAGCCAGTGACTCTGGGAGGCTGCGGAGCCGGCCTTCGCCGCGCTGATCGGCACGATGTTCTACTCATCGTCGGGATCACAGAAAAAGGGGGTCGCAGGTGATCTGAGGTTGAGAGCTAAGAGCAAAAGAACCCCGATGATTGCTGCACAATTGCCCTTAACTTGCGTCCTCGTTCCCTTTGCTCAGGAAGGTGAGTCTTGGAAAATGGCTGTGTCTGATCCCCGTCATCGGCGGCGTTGTGGGAATCTCAGCCGCTGAAGCTGGCCTTCCGGACCCACGGCGTCTCATTCGGTCTCAGGTCTTCAATCGAAGAAGACACCCCTCTCTGCTTCTCTAACTCGGCTTCAGAGGTCTTGGCCTCGCTGGCAGAGCTGGACTTTGCCTGGGCGGCCCTCATTACGGCAGCGATGGCCAACGTCTTCGCGGCCTTCAAGGTTCGGGATGCCAATCAGGGAGTGCATGATCCCGTTTCGCCGACCCCCCCTCGAACGGTATCCCCTTGGCCCGACGCCAACGCCTCATGCCAAACCACGAACCGGGGGATGCGGAACGGAGAACAGCAAAGCAATAACTAGGAGTTCTCAGCTTTGCACACACCCAAAGTTTCCAGTAATGTGGAAAGTTCGAAGAGAAAGAGGCAAAGTTTTGCCAGAAAGTGAGAGAGAGCATCAGACGTGCCTTTGTTCAGAATAGTCTAGATTTTGGCCGAGTTTGCATCGTGCATCCAGCACCAACTTGAATAAAGTGAGGCGTTCTCGAGCGGCCCTCGAAACCGAAGAATCCACCCGACAGACGATCCCGTCCAACCACACGTTGAAACCAATGCCGCTCAAAGAGAGCCGCTCTCTGAGACGCCCTATAGAACGTGCTTCTGCTCATCACAGAATGCTGCACAGCTAACGTAAGAGGTGGCGTGGGCAAGACTTGCGAGACGGACAGACCCATCCGCCTGTTGTCGGACCAGTCGTCCGAAAGCGAGCCCCAGTCACTGAAAAAACATAGCTGCCAAACAAGACCCCCAAAAAGCCAGAGGATCTGTGGTGGAGAGATAAGGCTTGAGACCTTGCATGACAGACTTTATCCCGGGAAGTCTTTCTCCGCTCGGTTTCGAGGGGGATTCTTCATGCCCTGTTAAAGCTACGCCACATCCCCACTGTGACGAACAGCAAAGGGCGCAGGCTTTTCCCTCTGCGTTTTCGGGTCGTTGGAACGCGCGGGTGGGTGGAGATAAGGCTAACCATGAAAGACGCTGCAATGCCGCCGGGGCACGCCTAAGGCACACTAGCGGCACCTGACGGTCATCAAGCGCAACAAGAGACGGAAAGGAAGCTCGAACACAAAAAATATGAACGACTCGTCAGTGAGAGACTCCGGCTGAGCAGCAGGCACCTCGCGTGTCAGCTGCTCGCATTTCGCATCGACGCGTGGTCGGCTGAGGAACGCGCGACGGGCAGCCGCTTGATGCGCAGGGGAGCGCTCCACGGTTCCCTCGAGACTCAAGCCCACAGAAAGAGAGAGAACGTCGAAATGAGCGCTACTAGAATCACAGAGATCCTTCAGAGTTTGTGTGTGACCCAACCGTGCTGCCACCTCGATGACACGTCCGACAGGGCAATGAGAACAAGAAGCTGATGGGGACCCCGGGGCTGAAGGCAGCTCCGTCTTGCGGCTATGACTTTGACATGTGTGGTATCGTGGTAGCATATTGGCCAATGTGTGGACCAACCTTGCTTGACTGTGCTTGAATGTCTGGCTCATTTGATTGCCGAAGCCGCCCGTAGCACTATGCCTCGCAATCGCAACGATATCATCCGCAGTGCTTTGTTTCCAGGGACCTTGCATTTTAAACACACCGTTCTTTCAAAGACAAACAGAAGTGCCGGTCCTGCAGGACCGGATGGGTGGTGTCGGAAATCAGCGTCGAGCTCAGACGGATTTCTGCTGTAGGGTTCAGACCATTCGAAAATGAGCGAGCTTAGCAACGAGGGCCATCGAACTGAAGGGATGCAAAGGGAGACTGTGAGCGTGCACCTCAGGTTTGCGATTACCATGATCAATTCCTTCATGTTCTGCGTGGTCATCACGGCCATTACAGAGGTGCTGAAGATGATGTTTTATCGGCAATCACAGCACCGGGATTTTGAGTTTGATGTCGACTGGACAAGATGTGCGCGAAACGTCCAATGCACCAGCGAAATGCGATTGCAGCATTTTTCACCGTCCGACAGGGAAGGAAGTTCGGAGCCTTCATGAAGCTGGCATCGACCAACAACGTGGAAGTGGCCTCGGAGTGCACAACACAAGCCCACCACTCTCGCACCAAGCTTGATGCTGCTTGATGCTGCGTTTCTGCGTAGCGAGAAGTGACATGGCTGACGGATAAACGAAGTTGCAGAAGGCTGACGGAGGTGGTAGATTCTGGTAGATCTTTCCCATCAATCATCGGTTCAACTTGTACGAAAGTTTGGCCACATGTGCTGAGGTGTTGTTGAATCTGATCTACTCGGGCCTTTGGTTTTATGCATACAACGAGTGGTGCACCCAGACCATGTGGCAGAATTTAACGCAAAAGAAGTGTGGCTGAGCATGAGTGAGGCTGGCCACCTTTACCATCAAGAAGACCAACGCCGTGACCTCCTCCGTGGCGAACACGGCCGCTTGGCTCTGCAGCGGCGACGCTCTCCCCTTTCCTCTTGAGCCTTCGCCGTCCGCCTTTGCCGCCGGTTGCAGGCGAAGCGGGTGATCGTCATCGTCGGAGTGGCGCTGGTGATGCACGAGAGCCTCTCGCCCTTGAAGCGGCGGCCTTAGAGAAGAGACCAGGCCTTAATGATAACCATCTCACTTTCGAACGAAAAGTCGGCCCCCAAGGCTCATAGGCTGCAGTATCGGCATTGGCGGTGTGTTCCTGTCCGGCCCTTACATTGCAAGTTTGTGTATCTTTTTGTCACCAACTGCGGGATGCGACGCTGATGCTGGCAGGTACTCTGTTATCGACGACTTGCTCAAGAAGTGAGTTGCGAGTTCGTTTCCATGCATGCCACAATTAGTCGCAGGTTGTGTGACCTGGGGTCTGGAAGGCGCTGGAGAGATCTGCGAGGGCTGGTTCCCTTGTTCAGTGCGGCCAATGACAGACCCGCACGTGACAAAAAAGGGCGGGCTTGCTTTAGTAGAAGTGCTGTGCATGTCGGCCCTTGGTTTTGCCGTCTGCAGGCTGCATTTTCCGCTTCAGCTGTTTGTGTAGCCAGTTCCGAGCTTTCGGCTTTTCGCAACCATGGTCTGGGCCCATGTCGCAGACGTGGGATGACGTGGGATTGGGGAGCGTGGAGCTTTTGTGATTGAGACGGCTGAGGGCAAGCGCGCGCAGCAGACAGCCAGCACCCAGCAGGCTCAAGTGCTCAGTCGGTGCTCAGTCCTTGTTTCAACCCGCGTGGAAGCAAAACCTCACGCTTGCGCCGCAAACCGAAAGCGCGGAGCCGCCAGAGGCCAAAGCGCCCAAAATCGTTGACCCAATGGAGAAGGACCGCGACTTCCTGCTGCTTTGTTTTAAAATCTTGCGATGGTGCTGTGAGCCGCAAAGAGGGAGCTTCGCTTCAATCCAGGCTTACAGGCAAGCGTCATCAACCACACTAGAATGCCGAATGCTGGTGATGGCTGAGGACGGATGGTGCGAGGATGTGCTAGGAGTCCCATCATCTCTGGAAAGGCAGCAAGGCATGGTGACTCAACAGCAGCAAGGGCTGAACAGAAGTGAGAACCATTACATTGCTGCTGCATGTCAGGCTTTTTTGATTTGGACACATGTTACTCTATCCGTTAGTGGACTTGCCTTTGGAGGAGTTGACACCGGTGCTGGAGCAGCTAGATAAGGCGGGCGCATTGTGCAAAGTTTCATCATGTAAAACTCAGCATGTTCGCTTGGTTTTGAGATTCAAGCACCACAGTCCTTGGCCATAGAGGCTCGTGGAATCATCAGCGCATCCACGGTTGAGATGCTACAGGTGCTTGGCTGAGAGGATGCTACCTTTAGTTGCAATTATGTGAGGCTCTACACACCTTTTCTCGGAGATCGAGATCTACATTGTACATAGCTGTGCAGTTTTCACGGACGCCATATCTGCCACCTCCCCAGGCAGTGGTGCCACACTGCATCAGCTCAGCCAAGGCCAGATCCTGCGAAATTCCACGCGTCTCAGACATGAGGAGCGTAATCGGCATAGCCGTTCAGGGCGATCGCCACGAGTACCAAAACTCGATGCTCGAGTCCGTCGAAACCACGCTGAAGCAGATCCAGGCTCGCATCACAGCACGCTGTAGCAATTGCAGTTGTTACATCTCGTTGCATCTGATTGCATGTGACAGTGTGAAAACGAGCAACCTTGCCTGCAATTCCTACTGGGCCCTTGACCCAGCTAAAACTGCATGATGTCATCATCTTTATTAAACTTTATTCTAAAGCATCTCTTGGGGAGTGGGTTCGCTTGTGTCTTTCTTTGGTGTCGCTCGTGTGGGCACCCGTCGCGAACGATCGCGCTCCTGGGAGATTCTGGAAAATTTGGAGCGTTGAACCGTGAAGTCAACACAAATCACTTTCAAAGGACTCTCCTCGGTCTGGCAGGATCATATACACACTCCAAACATCCCCAAACCAAGGAACGCTGTGGGCTGTGATTTCCATGTTCTTTCAAGTTCAGAGGGTCTTTGGCGCAGGCAACATCGCGTAGGCAACGAAGTTTTCGGAGAGGCATTCCTGGAGAATATCAATGTGGCAGAGACTGTTTCCTTATGTTTGCTTCGTATGAAAAGCAGATTTTGGCAGGCTTGCAGGTTATCGATGCTGGCATGGTGTTGTCACGGTGTATGGATTTTTTTTTGCGACTGCGGTTATGGAATTATTTTGTCATGATCTTATTTCGCTTTCTGACGAAAGGTAGGCATCGGACACGAAGTGGCAGCATGAGTACTGGTTGAAGCAGTAGCAACACTCTCATGACGGTGCATGTGGTAATGATGATGACCCTCATGATATTTCTCTTTAGACTGCTCCAAAAGATGATGGGTATTCCAAAGCATGAGGGTTATTCATGAAATCTAATTACACTTCTGATAATGAACACGAAGATTACGATTATGCAGTTCTTTTTGGTGTATTCTGGCTTGAGCAACATAATTAGCAAAGGTGAAAACAAAGGTAAACTAAGTGTGAACGGGGAAAGGAAGAAGAAAGGTTAGGGCATCAGACGAGTTTGATCTGTGCTTAAAGCTTGAAGTGTTGGAGTTCGAAGGATTTTGGAAGTGGCGAGCTGGAGAGTCCGAGAGTTTAAGAACTCCTCAAAAAGGTGAAAACCGGCGTTCGCTCCTACTGAGGACAGTTTGTTACTCGTAAAGTTTTGGTTTTCGAGCGATTTGGAGTTCGAAGGTTGGAAAGCTGGAGCTTTTGCTAGTTTCAAGTCGAGCCGAGCGTGAAAGTCCACGAGTTTGGAAGCTTGAAAATTTGAAGGTTTCAGGTGTTTTTTCGAAATCGAAAGTTTGACGGTCCGGCGAGTTCCGGAGAGTTGGAAAGATTGCAAGTTCGAAAGATTGACAGGTGCGAAGTTAGGATGCTACTCACGCTTGGCTTCCCCTGACTAGCCGGTCGCGGCTTATCACAGGCCCCCGACGCGCCCGATCATCAACTCTCTCAAATCCTTCTCGATGACGCACTGTGGCATCTGTGGCAAAAGACGCCAGCACACCACATTTCGTTCACGGTCTCAGCATTTCGTGCACAGTCTCAGCTGCGGAATAACATGCGTCAAAGGAAGCGGCATCGAAGAAGCCGGATGTCTCATCCGGACTTGAGGGCTTACGTGGGGCTGTAGAGTCTTGGTGTGTAGGCTCAAAGCTCGGTGAACTTACGCATCGACAAACACTATGCCTGAGCAGCTAGTGGTTTGAAGGACAGGCACCGGTCCCCTCCAGCTCGCAATCAACAGCATTCAGATGGCGGCCCGGAGCGGTGAGCATCTGCATCTCCGTGCTATGCACAACAGGCTGAAGCCGAACACTGATTGAAGAACCATACTGAGAAGATGCAGCATGAATCAAGGAGCGCACTGATGTGGTGACAGCTTTGGCCAGAAACTGGTTGTCTTGATTTTTGCACCAGAGGCCCAGCGGCCCGTATTTCTAAGCATGAGCCGTCTTCAATGCACAACGATGCAACCCGCGACTGTAGACGAACCACATTAGGCATCCCGCTGGAAAACTCTGCGCTTTTCCCAGCCGTGCAGAAGTACATTCTCCTAGATCTATGTTTTGAGTCAGTTTGATTTTGGGGCATGCGGTGCCGACTGGTGCGCTTTGGTACGGGATGGCATGGGTTCTTTGGAGAGGCCTGGCAAACACTTGTGCACTGGGACCCTTGAGTGAGCCCTACACGGCCCAAAAGCATTTTCACCACTCGAAACCCGACAGCCCTAGACCTAAATCCCCTCAAACCCGGAACCCTACAAACCCAAACCTGGCACCCCGCCAATCGCGAGGTTTTCGATGCCATAAGTCGAAAAGAGATGCATGTCACACTAAACGAAACTACGTAAGTGGCACTGAAACGCAAGCGACACCCATGAAACGGTGCAAATGAGCCCAGACCACATCTTTGCTGCTGGAGAAGTTTTACATTTTGCCGAGCTTCACAATGGTACGCTGAGTAGCATCCTGTCGGATTTGCTTCCTGCGACATCGGTTTGACACAAGGTTTCTCATCAAGTTGGCCGTTTGATTTTACAGTTTGCGTAGAGTAACTTCCCATCGCACCTACTTTCAACGCTGCTTAGATAGCTGTCCATGCACAGTTCGCATCAAGGGTTTTCCGGCTTTTTCGTAAACAACATATTTGCAAATACTTGCACTCACTGGCATCTGCTCTGTCCCTTTGCGCTAGCCCAGCGCATCCGAGTGATCGATTCAGCACGTTTCGAAGCAATCTCTACAAGAAATCTGAGCGTTTCTGGGTGTGCGGCGGTGGTGGTGGTAGTGCTGCTGCTGCTG